AAACCGCTCCTCAGCCATGCGGTGATCACCGACATTACAAACCCTTGTTTGTAATGGCAGCAGCAGCGAGAAGCAAGCTCAAACTTGGCATTTGTCAGTGTCGTCGTTTTTCTCTTGGCGAACTTGACCTTCACTTCTGTGTCTCTTCGTGTGAGCTCCGTGTCGCCAGCCCTGCCCATGCTAGAGCTTTCGTCCCAGCCCGTGGCTCTCAAGTCATTCGATCGGTTGGTCATGATCCAAACTTTCTGCCGTGGACCCGAAAGTGGTGTGTGTCTCCTCCATCGGCTTGTTTGTATCGCTAGTGACGCCACTAGTGTGGTCCTCTATCCTTCGCTTCACATTCATTCCTCCAGTGCAGCCCTTCCAATCAAGATGAAAGCGGCAAGGACCAGCCAAAAAAAAGAAGCTTCAAAGGCGCTGTAAGATGCTCCAGAAGCGTTGGAAAAGCTGTTGGAAGGAGTGTACTAAGATCGATATCCTCAACCTGTAAACTGGGTCGGAATACCAATCACTGATTGCTTTAGGACACGCGGGCAGGGGAAGGCTCAGCGAGGTGTTAATGCTAAACCGTGCTTTGTGGCCTGATGGGAACCAACTTGATTCGTTTTGGACTGTTGTGGATGTGATGCGGCGAGCAATCGGCGATGGTGTTGTAGCTGATTGGTGTGAAAGACCCAGCCCTTCACCCGGTTTAAAGGATTGTGATAATAGCTAGGCAGCCACATCACCATGCGAGCATTCCAGAGTTGGACTAGTTTGTGAGTTGTTGTTTGAGCCAGATTGCTATCTGCGCCTGGGTTTGCATTACTTCGACCGCCCTCCACTTGACCACCCCACTTACCACTACACGAGGCACGAATGGCAGCTAGTGAAATCTGAGTGCTTTTGTCTCCGCTCTGACGAATTCCACAAGGTCATGTTAGACGGTGCAGAGGGCGAGGAAAAGGCCCTGAGACCGAGCACCATGAAAGAGGGTTGACAGGCCATGAGTAAGGCTACACGTGCCGCATGCGCAGGCACCGAAGACCAGCATTGCAAGCACAGGACTGCCACTCCTGGCGATGGTGCATTGCCTTGGACACTGGCAGCACTGAACATGTTGTCACAGTGACATCAACATTTCTGCTCCCTGGATTCAATCTTACGCCAGCTCTTTAAAGGATCAAGCTGGGGACTCGCTTTAAGCACCCGCTCCCTGATGCACGAGAGCTACAAGCGATGGGCTCCTCAAGTGGCTTGTAGTTTGGAAGAAGCCTGGCAGCCTCCCAGGGCACCACAACTGGGCAGACCGACGGACATCACACCCAGGTCGCTGGAGGCTGTCGCACTGGCCGCGGCTGCAGACACCACAGCCCGGATTCGGGCTGCAAGTACTTGCTCCACCCGAACTCCAAGTGGTGTGGGACGACGGTCCGTCTCGGCTGTCGATGATGTCTCGCCTGAGAAGACCATTCGGTATGGCACTCCCTTCGTTGCTGCCATGCCATTGACACCTTTGTGGCCCATTCTGCCCTGCATGAAGCCGGCCAGGAGTGACTCTGCATCGCCCTCGCGGAGCCAGGGCCTTCGTCAAGAGCGCGATGAGGCAGAAACACTGCGCAGGCATAAGGAGGATTTGCAGCTCGAGCTGGCAGATTTGAGAAAGCGGCTCGGTCAGGCCTTTGCTTTGAGCTGCCCCCGTAAACCCTGTAGAGCGGATGCATGGTCAGGCACTGGGTGCCGTAATGCAGCTTGCGGGAATAGAACAGAGTATGCCATAGACATGCCCCAGCCCCTGAGGAGACGGAGATAAGCTCCGACCCCATGCAATCTTGACCGCTTGCTCACTTGATCAGATGCAAGACCTCTGCAGCGAGCTTCAAGAAGACAACGCTCACCTGAAAAAGGCATTGGCTGAACGCGAACAAGGCACGCACTTGAGCCTCATGACTGTTGGTGTCCACCGCCAGTACTGACCAGACCCTGCAAAGCAAGGCTGTTAAACTTAGAATTAGAATCAATCCTTGGTGTCACACTTACTTGCGGAGAAGCGTACGAGCTAGGACCTTGTGTAGTATGTTGCATGTTTTTTTCGTGTGGCTGCATCATGGGCCTCTGGCAGTTTTGTTTTCGTGGCTGCCTGCAGCGAATGCGCTGGCATTAACAGGTAGGTGTGCTGCCGCGAATTCCATGTCTTTCGCTGCCCCGACAGCTACTCGTAGCGCAAGTAAGCATTTGATGCTGGCAGGCGAGGCCTCTTTGAGAACTGTCCTTCAAGAGGAAAGGCAAAGAAGCGAGGAGCTTGGCAGGACCAGCCAGCAGGTCCGACAGGAAATGGAGCAACTCAGAATCAAGTTTGGTATCTTGGCAGAAGCATCAGTTTATAAGTCTTGAGTCGGTGGCAATAGGCACCACATGATAATGCTGCATGTAGAAACATGCTGCAGGCAGCAGGGGCATGTTGCTTCAAGGAAGGAACTAGCAGCAACTAGCATGACAATTACAAACTAATGCAGGCTCAGTTGCACCCGTTGCAGGGCAACAGACATGAGCACGCAGGGTCTCTGTCCGCGTTTGATAGGTCATTCGCATTACTCCAGGCGCTGATTTCCATCATGTGGAAGACCTTTGCAAGAAGCTCGAGATGGACAAGCAGCATTTGCGAAAAGCGCTGCGACAGCGAGAGCAAGGCCAGGAGGTGGTGGGTGACGGTAGGACAGTCGGCTTTCGAGACTCTGTGGAACGCTTGTTCCCGGCATGCAGGTGAGATCTCGCTCCGTTCTTCAATTGAAGAGGAGCAGCATGCTCGGCGAGATCTTGTGAAGGAAAGGGAAAGCTTGAAGCTCGAGCTCCGTCTCCCGGATGACATTACAAGCATTTGACAGTGCATGCCGGGGGGAGCTTGGAACTGAATCCTCCACCAACGCTCCACAGGCAAAATGCAGCAGCTCCAGCAAAAGGCCGTCGAGGCTGCGAGCCTCATCAGTTCCAGACGGCACTTCGGAAGCAAGTGCTGAGGGCACGTGAGTACAGGCTCCCAGCAGGAGCTTACCAAATTCATGTGCCAGAGCCTCTAGCCTCTACCTTCAGGTCATCTTCAACATCTTCAGCTATTTCAGGACCTTCGTCCTGCGGCCATGTCTTCACGAATGGGTTGTGCAAGCTGACCTTGTCACTGTGTGTAGAACGGAAGCAGAAAGAAGTGCAGGCTTGTGAAGAGTTGAGGGTCGAAGTTCGAAGTGTACCATCCGCGCCGGTCGCCCTGAGAGGCTCTGGGATGATCGAAGTAGATTTGACGGGCGAGCTTTCTGAGCAGGCGTCTAGCTGATGAATGCAACAGCCAATTAAAGATAAGTTATGCCGGCATGACACGGACGGCGTTTCTGCATGCTGTGACACAAACGTACTTCTACTACTGTAGCCAACCTTCTCTAAGGAACACCGTGGAGGTTGCTGATTGTGCCATGCTGGCAGTACACCGTTTAATTCGATGCAAGGCTTCTTTTGGTGCTGTGATCTAATTACTTCAGTGAGTGGTTTCTGTACACAACATATGCCTGTTTTGTGCTTTACGTATGTACCCCGAGTTCTGCTGGTGCCACGGAGAAATCGCTTCAAGCCTTCGGTAGTGCAAGGTTTGCCTGCTAATTTCAGCGTTGCCTGGAGCGGAACAAAAGCTTTTGAGGTTGCAGTGATCGTGCTGCGAGCACTCGGTGCCGGGCCCTGAGCCGCGGACTAGTCAAGAGTCGGCAAGCCAATAGGGTTGCACAGGTCGTGCAGCAGTGGAGATATTGTGGCTAGTGTGTCAGAGACCGCAAGGTGCTACAGCTCAGTGACCTCCTGACTAGAGTCGGCAGCCTTGCGAGCGTGACAATCATGGTATCGGAGTTTGGTTGCTGTTTGGGGGCAAGACACGAGGCGTATCTGCGTCCGGGCCCTAAGCATAGTCCAGCTTGATCACAAACTGAGGCCGTGATATTTATACCATTATTTCTGTACTTCCTCATGAGCGCTCACAGGGCCAGCGCCAGCTACTCGGTGTTTGGCGGTTTGATGAGCTCCTCGTCGCCACTAAACTCAGCATGTCTGTGACTGTTGCCCGCTAGACTGACGTTTGAGGTACGCTGGATAAACATGAACATGAAAATGTCTTGCTCGAGCGTTGAGACACGATTGAGGTCGTGCCCAATGTGACAGACGGCATTGCTGGCTGCTTACTAATCGTGACAACAAGTCGCATGAATACGAAAGTGATAATCTAGAGAAATTTCTCTCGAACTTCCTTTAGCAGGTCAAGGCATTATCGAGCAAGCCACTGGTGACGCTGGGCAATCTTGCATTTCCTATCTTTGTCGACGGCTCAGCGGAAGCTGCAAGTGATGCCCCTTGCCGTCTGCTGCTTGTTGGCCACCTCCGACCAAACAGAAGCCGAGGTGGTTCACGGACCACTTGGGCAGGTCTTTTACAAGAAGGCTGCCGATTACGGCTTCACACTCATTGAGCAAGGCTTTCCGCCGCATACACTTGTCTCAAGAGGTAATCGCAACCAAGCTCTTTGGTGGCACAATGATGGCATTGGTTGGTCCACAGCCGCAGCCCGAAGAGATGCAAATGTGAGGTTTGAAATCAATGCACAAAAGGATCCGATAGCCTGTGAAGAAGCGGGTGAACAGTCCCAAACAAAGGTTCTTCTATGCTTATTTGGCCATTGTTCTTATGTCTGCCTGGGTGCGATACTCAGAGACGTGAAGGGGACGCAAAGCTCCACAGCAAGATTGTCTTTCTGCACAGGTTCTGCAAAAGACTTTCCTCTCCAACAAGCAGGCCGCGCTTCGAAGAGAGTCTGCAACAGCTGAGATTTGTATCATAAGACTTCGTCTGCAGAGGTCGGAACGCTGTCAAAAGACTCTGTGGAAAAGATCTCCCAGTCTGGACCTTGCTGTGAAATCAGACGTGGAAGACATCACCAGCATTATAGTTGCTACTCCAGGTGGTTCAAGTGAGCTGGCAGCCTCTGGGCAGCAAGACGGCACGGCGAATATTTTTTATAAGACTGATCGATTTATTGCTTGGATCCAAGACGGATCGTTACATTTCTTCATGTACAAGACGAAGGCCACAAGGGCATTGCACACGAGCCACCTGACGCAAGATACATCAGGAAGATATTTTAAGAGTGATTTCCATTCAACTGCGTTCTACACCCTGATGGTGTGCCAGAAATTTCAGCATCATGGAACTTCTATAGAACAGATTGTCGGAAAAATGAAAGGTATGTTTTGTCAATACGAACATACTAAATTAAAATTTTGCGTTTGGTGATACATATATATATATATTATGTATATTTGTATATTATATTTAAAATCCAGATTTATGTCAAATATCTTCTATATCGATCTATTGAGATATCAGAAACCGAATTCATTTCGAATTCGAACCCATATCTTTTCATAGCTAATTACAATACAAGACTGGAAAAATTGATAACGTGTGGGTGCGATTGATAACCCCCCCCCCCCCCTCCGGGCCAGGATNNGGATTGGGAATAAGCGCGGAGCGGGACCGCAGGCAAACGATTGAGGGGGTTGGAATAGTTATGGGAGGGAGGATTGGTAGCATATTAGTACAAGTGTGGGTGGTTGTCGTAGTCGTAGTGGTAATAAGAGTAATAGGAGTAGTAGTAGGCGTAATCGTAGTCAAATAGAGTCCAATAGTGGTAGCAATAGAAGTCGTTATCGTAATTGTATTAGGAGGTAGTAATCGTCGTGCGGGACATAAGGGTAAAAAGAGAAGAAATTTAAAAGATTTTTATTATAAATATTGGAAATCTAAAATAAGGTTTTGAGAATAAATACGTCCAAAAAAAAGGTAAGAGATTGATTTAAAGATTTTGTTTAATAAATGTTTTTTTTATTCTAATATCGAAAATAATAACCAAATTTGATTATTTTTAGATGAATATATTTTATTAAATGGGTTTTTCTCGAAGAAAATTTATCTATTGGCCGAAGTAGAGAAATTCCCAAACTTTATAAGAAAAAAATTATTAGAAAATAGTTTTTTAATATTTCCGAGCGATTATTACTTCCCTCTATAATTGGATTTGTTTCGTTTTATGACGTTATAATACTCTAAATGTAAACTAGATTTCTTTTTGACCTCATTATATTTGGATAATCTTAGATTATATCTAGGCTCTTATATATTCGTTAATTATTAGATGCGTCGTTTTTTAAATCTCTCTATACGAATTTATTCTCGTATAAATACTATAGATATAGATTACACTCGTTTAAAAGAATAATATAGATTTTCTGATAATAGCAAATTCCCGATATAATTCATAAATTATCTATAAATCGCAAATATTAGATTCTGTGACGAAATAGATGATCTCTTTAAATAGATATGTCGCAAATAAATAGATGACGAACGGCGATTGTAATTTTAGATAGATATGATTCTTGTCTGATCTCAAGAAGAAGGTTAAGATCTTTTTAGATACGGTTTAAATCGATATATTTAATTATATAATTCGGACCGATTAAGAATTATTTAAAACGAATTATGGGATAAACCATCTAGATGATTTTGGCTCAGATATAACTTTGGAATTGGAGAATTATTATTTAATATATATATATATCTATATCTAAGAATATTGGCTTAGATTCTGCTATCTTCTAATTTGAAAAATCACTATCTATATAATATAAAATATAGAAGCCCTGGGACTCAATAAAAAAGATATATAAGAAGATTAATTAATTAATTTCAAATATCTATAAATATGAAAGGAATCTATTCAATTCCATAGAAAGTTTGCAAAAGATCATCAACAAGCCTTGTGATTCTTTAGAAGACCTTTAAGAAATATAATTAAAGCTCTAGAATTCTTCGTCTTACATAATAACACACTAATTCGATCTCGAAAATCTCTTCTTATTATATATGCGATCTCATAAAAAAAAGCTCTACAATTCTTTATCTTGTAAAACGATAAAAAATCAAATTAATCTCGAGAAATTCTTCTTATAATATACATACTCTTATTTTTCCTAAGATATAAAGAAAGGAAAAATATAAAAGCCCGAATTCTAAATCCGCCCATATAAATAAAAATAAGAGATAATATATTAATTTCGAAATAATCATTATCTCGAAATCGGCCGCCTATTTCATATAGATTGCTAAAAATAATTATTATAACCTCTCCAATTCCAAGCTTCCAATATCTATATTCAAATCCAAATTTTTTATCCTCCTCATATAATACACACAAATATCTATCTTATTTCTTATTTACCGAAATTCAAACAATTTCGCCTCAAAATCAGAAAAAGAAAATAAAAACAAAAGAAATCAAATAATAACTTCGTTCAGGTTCCTTATTCGGAAGGCCGATTTCAGTGATGCTAAGTATTTCGAAAACCTTCCTGTGCTGCTCTGAGGATGAACATGAAGACCTGGGTCTTCAGACGTGTAGCTAAGCTCGTCGCTTACCTTTCCGTGCTAGATTTCGTTCCAAAAAACAGATTGGGCAGTGTTTCTTAGGCTACTTTCTTGCCCCTTTCTGAAGGTAGTGAGGAATTTGCCTTGTTTGGTTGGGGTTCAGGGTCTCTTTTGTCAGATGCCTGTATTCGTTGTTCTAGATGGGGGGGGGGGGGGCAGGTCGTACGTGAAATTGGCAGCCTTGACCTTTCGAGACTTTGTGATCTTTGTTAGCCTTCCTGCCATGGCTCAGCCAACTCAGGTGCAGCCTAAACCTTTGACAGGACAAGTGCGAACCCGTACTCCAGGGCCGATGCCCCCACCGCCGCCTCAACTTCCCACTACAGACCAGTCTGCCCTTGTGTAGAGCTTCTTTGACCATCAGATCCTGTTGCAGGTCCTGATAGTTTTGCTTACCCTGATGGTGGTGGCAGTTGTGAGACTTGTGACATCTTGGTGGCAGGACAAGACGCCATCGGAGGCATCCAGTCGCAAAGCCAAGAAGGAGGATGGTCGTGCGATATCTGTTGCAACGCAACAGGCCGGCCCCAGTGTGGAGGCAAATAATAACAAGGATCAGGGATCTGCCCCGGCACCCAGCAAACCGGACAAAGGCATCGTGAAGGATGATGGTGGTTCACCGAAGCCCTCTGCTCACGTGGATACAACGACGACACCCATAACAGCGCCGAGCACAGGAAACGATGACAAGAAGTCTGCTAGTGCGGCGACCACTACCGCAGACTCCAAAGCTAAGCCTGCATCGGATGGACCCGGAACCCCTGTAGTGACACCACACTCTATGTTGCAGGAGATCCAGGCGGTGCATAAGCTGGTGAAGACCCTTACGGATGGGGGTGCACCACCAGACATGAAGAAGGTCAATGGAGAGATGGAAAACCTTCGCAAGGATGTCACGACGATCATGAAGTTCCTCTCGTCGAGCGACAAGGACCTGAAGGACCTTTCTGGACGACTTTCGGCGTTGGAGACGGTGCTCCAGGCTGTGAACACACGAATGTGCACCCTCTCGTCCAATTTGAACATACATGCCAAGGCCACAGAGTCGTACCTCAAGGAGGCCCTCAAGAGCATTTCTATCGTGGGCGGTGCACCATACAGACACCCAGGTGCTGATTGGTGCCAAACACGATAATTTGGAGCAGGGGATCAAGTTCTGCATCAATAAAATCACCAATTACGATTATGAGTCGTATATATCGTTATCGAAGACTTTGTCTGATCTAAGCAAGCAGACCTACGACATGGGTCAAGAGCTGCTGGCTGTATTGCACTTTGTGCAAGGCGAGCAAGGGACTACAAAGGACAACCTCTGGCAGATAGCGAATGTTCTCTCGGACACGGTGGAGCAGGTGAAAATCATCCGGGACTATTGCGAGAGGCCTGTCCCTGTGAATACACAGAACGCGGGGCCTTCGACACCTCTGCACCCGCCTCCAACATACGAGCCCAGCATCCACGGGGCACGTCAGTAGCTTCGCCTTCAGACGGTCATTCCGGTGGCCCGCGGGACCGCAGCTACATCGACCCCCCAGGGGAACATCGACATGGGAGATAGTCGCACTATAATATCCCTGTGCATAGGTGATTTCTTTCAAGCCACAGGCAGTAATTACATGCATGAGGGCAGATTTTAGTGGATATATCTTAGCCTGTGTTGCCTTTTTGGTCATTTTGCCGCCCTGTCTGCATGCCTAAATTTATTACATGTCCTTGCGTACTATGTATGACCTTGCCCCTTTTCTTGCACTGGCACTAAGCTCCTTGCACTGTTTCTTTACCTTGCTTATTTATCGTACCCGGCCTAGTGCCTGTTGCTTTGGAGCTTATGTGCCTCGAAGCGAGCAGTCTCATAAGGCGAACTATTCTATGTTTTTCAACATCGCTGTTCGCTGCACTTAATTGCCCCGTTTCTCTATATGCTACTTGCTAGTGGTATCATGACCCATACAGGAAAAAGAGCTGTGTCGCAAGGGATCCTATTTAGATGTCTGGGGCCCAAAAAATATCCCTAAATGACTTGATTCCTGTGGGCCCAAGCCTGTCACGCGAGCGAAGCCCTCTGGACCTCATGAACCGTCAGTCCGTGCATATGGGTGATTTCGATTTCCAATTGGCTCCTCATTTAATTCCCTTTGTGCCTTTATTAGGCGATGAGGATCTTGGGATGTTTGAGACCATGCCACATCATTTGGCTCATCAACTTGCAGTGGACCTTCGAGGTTACTTTTGGGCTATGCGGCGATCGTGGGAGTGGCACTTTACAATCTTGTTTGAGCTTCACCTATATACCCTCTCCCTGGAGAGAACCCTACGAGACTACCATCGGCTCCACCCGCCCCCAGCCCGGGGAACCACTCCCTTCCCACCCTTGTCAGCGGAGGACAAATCCTTCCTGGATTTCCTTGCACGGGATCTTCAATGTCGTTTTAACGCAACATGCGAGAATATTTCTTGGCACTACTTACAAATACATATCCCTGTATTT